AATTAGCTCTCTCTCTCTCTACACACACACACAGCAGAAGCACTTTATTATGGAAATTACAACTATTGGACACCAACCAAACAACTTTCCTCGCACAACTCTCTCTCTCTCTCTCTCTCTCTCTCTCTCATGTGGACATGCAAGTGGTTCTCCTTCAAGACCTGTTTGATCTTCATAAATCTGCAACTTCTTTTGAAGTAACAATGATTTTGAGTGATATACAGAATATCAAACTCAATATATACATCTTAGCAGGCCATAATTTCCATTACCTTTTAAATAGCATCTATTATGATATTTTCATTATAATTTAGTTTTCCCATTTTACATCCGTTATAATGCCCATAATGGTTATAATGATTTTCTTGAACACTCGATTTTGTTGCCCCGTGGGTCCAAATTCTACGTGTAGACGTGCATGCGAAAACACCTAATTGGGGGATCGGTTTACTTTTTATCTTCTCAAAAAAAAAAAAATATTCAGCTCAAGTGAGAGAGTTTGCTCTTGAACTTTTCGGTGAGCTTTTAATCTTCTCAAAAAATAATTTTCAGCTCGAGTGAGAGAGTTTGTTCTTGAACTTCACCCGTTATCATCGAGTTTTTGCTCTTGAACTTCAACCGTTATCATTGAGTTTGCTCGCTCTTGAACTTCATCTGTTATTATCATCATTATATGAGCTTTATCCCAACTCTCTTCACGAATCTTCTTATGCCAAACTGTCCTATCAAAAATCAAGTCCTCATCATCATATGTGTCTTATCCCAATTGATTTGAATTCTGTTATATGTAGGATTCTACTCTATCAAAAGTCATACATTTATTCAAATTATAAATCACCATAAAATCATATCCTCATCATCATGTGTCTTATCTCAATTGATTTGGAGTCTGTTATGTGTGTAATTCTGTTCCATCAAAGGTCATACATTTAGTCAAATTATAAATCACCATATCTTTTGCTTTTTGTTTAATACATATTTCCAAAAGATCACATCACCATTATCTTTCTTTCCATATACATTTTAGAGCATATATACATCTCGCTCAACATTTTTCATCTGGAATACTATTTTTGACCTTCCAAATTATTTCCTTTTAAGAAAAAGTTTATATAGCCAAGGCTCTAAACATTCAAATTAAAGCCTACCTCAAATGTGTCACTAGAAGAAGTTATTTTGATGCTCCAAATATCCTCAAATTGATCATCTCAACATCAACACACATGGACATGAGAAAAAAATGGATTTCAATTGTTTTGGACCATCAATTTTCTAGATTTTCAAGTTTTTATAAACCTGTTCAATCTACACTATTTTCAAAACATTAAATTTTATAATTAAAGATGAAAATATATTTTACAGCTATCATAAAAATTTCAGTTAAAATCATATTTCTTGAGACTAATTGTAAGTGCGCTTTACTTTGATTTTTCTAGAACGATGTTGTGATCTTTCTTGATGACTTCTAGAGCTTATATCACTGGTGTTTGGGATTATCACTTGCATAAGCACTGTTGATGCATAATCCCCATAATAATTTGGTACCCATGCAAGTCTAGCTTCATCTCATGCAGGTACAAATCAATTTCTTAAAAAGATTTGGCATGGGTATACAAATTCTCATTTGAGCTTCCAACACGATCAAGTAGAAGAATAGATATTAGCTTTCAAACCGTCAGAAACCTAATGCTCCATTTTTTTGACAAATCCCAATTGTCACTATCATCAGCTTAACCTTTTTTTTCAAATAATTGGGATTAATTATATGAATCCTAACCATTTTTTCAAATAATTGAGATTAATTACATGAATCCTAATCTTCAATTCTACTCTATTATAGGACATACCATATTTTTTATTTTTATAATTAAACCAAAAAAAAACAAACATATAAGCCAACAAGCTTTGTAGTGCACTTTCAAATAATACACGGCTTTTTGGACCATCAATTTTGCGTAAATTAGACAGTCAAGAAAAACTAAATTTACAAAAGAAAAGCGAGACGAGTCAACATTTTTGGTGAATACATGTTACACATTTCGGAATTATTTATTTCTAAAATCAACTATGGGCAAAAAATTTCAGCAAAAAAAAAAAATCCCTACAGTAATCCCTTGTGATGCATGGCTTATACTGTAGCTATAAGCCAATTACCTTACAAAAGCCACCCACTTCATACAATAGTCATGATTATCATTGCTACAATGCTTCCTAGGAAAATAAATACAAAGGAAAAAATTCTCACCCCAAGATTGGGGTTTTACACAAACCTAGAGAAACAAATCATTCAACTAAAACCCTAGCCTTGATGCCAAAGAAAACAACAAATGCAACATATTGCTCTAAAACAAAATGTTGACGTATCAAAAGGTACAAGAAACTAGACATTATCCACAATCCCAGTCCAGTGGTCCACTCTTTTTACAGGAAAGAAAATAATGAAAAGTGTTCATATTGCACCAAACATAGCACCCTTAACATTCCCAAAATTCATTCTTAAACAAGAGTACAGAAACAATGATCCAAGAAACAGGGCACACAAGCCACTTCTGACTGCTCAATTAACTTTTTCAGGCCAAAAAAAAAATAAAAATAAAAGTAAACAGAAAGCTGCTTGATCTGAGGAGAGTAAAAATAACTCACCAGCAAAAATAATGCAGTGAACTGTAATTTCCAGTCTACTGGAAATACACTAAAATTGCGGGCGAAGAAGGGGGGGATTGGGCACAAAAGGCTGGGTTATTTTGTAAAAGAGAACTTTGTGTACATGTGCCAGGAGAGAAAATTCAAGACTCAGCTGTGGAGACCAATGCTTTGAACTTTTGCAGGAAGATCATAGAAACTCTTCATTGTGAATGAATCATTACCTCTATCCTAATCTCACACTCTGCCTTGTTTTGATCATTCGCTTGAGGGCTGCAAGCCAGAAGTTGCATTCATCCCAATCGCTTGTCGTCAAAAGAACCTGACGTGGTGCAGATTGATGAATAAAATCACATAAAACATATAAGATACACAAAAAAGAAAAAGAAAAAACAGTACCTATGAAAAAAGAAAAGAAGGAAAAACCTTCAGGGAAAAACCCAAAACTAGGTTAAAAATAGTGAAGGCATCTCAAGTGCTTTTTATTGTCATGGATAAAAAAATCATGAGGTACATGAAGCAAAAATGAAACGCATATTACCATAAAACATGTGCATGCACGCAGAGAGAGAGAGAGAGAGAGAGAGAGAGAGAGAGAGAGAGAGAGAGAATAATAAGTAAGTAATTAGTATCGTCGTAGTAGTACGTACGTAGTAGTAGTAGAGAGTACGTAGTCTAGTACGTACACGACGACGTACGAGACGTACGTGTCGGACG